GTTCTAAGCTTCCAGAATTTCGGTAGTTATCTAACTTGGATCGGTTTGTGATCTCACTAAATTTTAACTGGCTGCATAAACCTTATTGATAATAGACTGTCTTGAGAATTACCAAGTGTTTCTACGGATTTTATTATTGCTTAAAAAAAGGAAGTCATGCTTGGTGGGCAAGGGAAAACACTTTTTCTGATAGTGGCTGCAAGCAGGACCCAGGATGCGTAATTAATCTTATCTGGGATTTGTTATGTGGATGTACCTCTATACAGTACTAACAATCATACTTGAACTCGAGCATAGTACCCTTCACCACGAACACCTAACGTTTTTTCTACCTAGCAATTGGAAACGAACCAAATCACTGTCCAAAGAATCTTGTAACCTAATAGCAATATTGAGGCAATACTCAAAAGAATGTAAATATTCCAAAAGAGAATAATTAATTACAATCCATAACATCAACAACAGAAAGATCCATACAACTACAAGTAAATGAAAGACACTTCAGTGCATATAACAAAATTACTTTTTGAAACAATGTTACCTAATCTTAGTTTTTTTTCTAAATAGAAGTATCCTCAAAAAGACCACAACTGTCATATCATATCATATTCAACTTTCTTTCTTCATTTTCTTTGTAAAATTTTTATGAATGACATCTGTCAACTAGTTGGCTACCAAAGAATTGAAAAATAATAAAATGTTTTTTGCGTACATATATACATATATCCCACGATCAATTAACCAATCAAAATTCACTCTCCCATAAATCATGATACAATTGTTCATTTTAGTTCACGATACCACGTTTCTATTTCTTTTTTGTTGCCATAGAAAAAATAATTAAATGTAGAAAAAAAATTTTTTTTTACAATGTATCATAGGACACCCATGTAAGCACATACATCAACGTTTGCATGTAAATACAAATAAAAGTCGACTTATGTAACATATGTTGAATATGAATGATTTTTAATGTATACATTATAATAGAATAGAAATATTAATATTATCATCAATAATGATGATCATGAGTATGATCAGTTTTTGTTACTGACATACGAAATATTATTATCATTCTAATATCAACAACAAAATAATCACTGTGTTAGTAAAATTGATCACTGTATTTAATGAGATCGTGTTATTTGTTCACAGTGATAAATGAATTTTTGTGTACATGTATTTCTATGCCTGTGAAAAGAAATCTGTGAAAATGCCATTTATATATTAATAGTTGAGATCATGAGCCGATTGAACCTAATGTCCAGTGGAGTTCAACCGGGTCTGTAGTCAGATAGTAACTCACTGAAAATGGTGATGGACGGTGGTGCAACTTCATAGATTGGTTGAAGTTAGACATTAACACCACTGAATGTCAACTGGCTCAATGGTCTTGAGGTTAAGCGTTGGCACGCGAGACCGATAGGTTGTGGGTTGGTATCTTGCGATGCGGGATCGTAGATGCGCACTGCTGAAGACTCGCATACTAGGACGAAACGGCTGTTGAGCTCTTTCAGGTTTCCCATGGTAGTCTAGCTTCGATTGACTCATGATCTCAACTACTGAAATTACCATAATGTTCACAAAACCCCTTTATATATATGTATATATGGCCTCATACGAGAACAAATCTATCATATATATATCACTCAATAATCCCCGCAAACGTTTCTAATCACGTGCTCACTAGGGACTAATTTTATGAGAAAGCTCTTGGAATTCAACTAACAGTTCTTGATAATTTAAGTCCCATCAGTTCATGTACAAGACTAATAGGAATAGCTCAATACCACCAATTAACTGAAGTTAACAATTCAAACCAGTGGATACTAGTTCAGTCGACTAGCAGTTAACCAATTACCATGACACTTGAATTTACAGGTTTCTATCATTGATAGGATAATATTAAGAATGTCCATTTTCATTATAATTGGATAGTTTCATATTACTCATATCAATCAGTAATATATAGATGTTACAAATTTATTCATCTTATTCTTTAATTGTCGTAACCATAACTGAACAGGCATCCTTATAAGCTGTTATTCCACATTGTTTAATGATGTAGGGAAAATTTCGTAACTATAACAGACGTTAATGGTTGATAAAAAGCTGAACCAGTTTTATAAAAATATATAACTAACTCCCATACAGCGTTACGTTATAACAGAGATTGAAAACAAACACATTTGTTGCCTACTTTCTTTGTTTTTTTACAAATTACTTTTAATTGACAAAACACAGTTTTCAAGAAGACAATAATAAACACAGGCAGAAACTTATTTTGTCGTTCACCTTAATTTTGATTGGTTAGTTTATTCCATATGAAATGAACAAATAAACTTTTGTTGTTTATCCTGTTGTGATTATCCTATTGTGATATTGAAATGAATGCTGTTTATAAGCGAACTTAACCTATTACTTGAGTGTTATAACTGAACATGAATTAGCAAGTTATGATGGTGAATTTTACTGAAATGTATGCAAACTCATCAATATATACATTTATACGTATTTCCTCCAGATAATTGAATCAAATCTCTGCTAATAGATTTAAATACCAATAGCATTCACTTAACGTTTGGTCTTGACCAAGCATATATGCAGAGTTATGCGTTGTATATGCATTGACTCAACCTATAATCTTTGAATTATACATATAAGTTAATCATTTCTCTAAGATATAAACCATTAAATACAAACTTAGTGGTCTAACGGTTAGACGCTTGTTACAAAGCCTGAAGGCAGTGAGTTCGATCTCAAGTAGACTCATAGATAAGTACTACTGAAGAATGTCATATTAGAATGAAAGAGCTGTTTAGATAGACCCTGAATTGTTTATTTTTTTTTCTCAGAAATTATGTTATCTCGTTGTTGACAATACATTGATACTTAAAGCAATACACAGAGTGGATATTAACACTGAGATCCAAGTTCTATCATTTACAGTGTCTTCAATGTGGAAAAATAACTATTTGTTTTCTTTTGATTTCAACCATTTTCAATGGATCTAGATCACAAGTTTTCAGATCCCTTGACTAGCTTGATGTTTCGAGACCATTCAGTTATAATCCATATTTACAATCTATAATTTTGGTGTAATCTACATTAAACGGGTAACTAAATTTCAATTCTAATTTATGAAACGTGTGAACAAAGGTCAATTATGAGTAAATTATTATACTTTAGATATTTAACTGGCTACGTATCTGACCATACGTGAATCAACAGTTTTCTCACCTAATATGTTCTCTTTATATTGAAGACAACTAATTCTAAACAAAGTGACGGGTCATTGAGTAGCAACCAATACCTTTGTGCCTAGTCTTTAATGCTAGTCAATGCAACTACTAGTCTAAATGTAATTTACATCGTAATTCCCCTTATTCAATATACGCACACCTACTAATTAGGGCTAAATAAGGGTCATAAACCAGTTAGAATTATGATGTACAGTTGATGGTTGGGGTTAAAAATTATATTTAGGGTTTTTATCACGAACTGACATCAGCTATAATGTTAAAACTCTATTTAGCCAAATGTATGTAGGAATTTCGCGCCAAAATACATAACTCGTTATCTTATATCTGATTGGTTCGTTTATAAAATACATCTAAAACTCTTCACATACTTGATAGTTTAATATAAAAAAAGCTAAATTCGTCAAAGCAAAAAAGTATCTTATTTAAATTACATAATTATGATGTGGGTTTATGGGAACATTTTAATTTCATTGATCGACCACAGTTAAACAACAACTGAAAACCGTGAAGCACTGAATAGTGAATTCGTTCAAATGTGTGACTCTTTAATAGGGCTCATCTGTAACTTCATAATAAGGAATCTGATTCACAACCCTCAGTTTCATGCATAGGCGCTTAATCTCTAGACCACTAGTTTGCAGCTCATTAGTTTACATGTCTAAACTCAAATTAATTTGTAATATTGCGCAACCATATTCTAATATATTTGGTGAATATATGTTTCACAATTTACGTGGTTGAACTACGTCTTGTATATTTAAAGCTGTTAAGATTATTAATTCACTTGGTATTGTTTGCTTGTATCTTCCCATTGTTATTTAGGATTGCAATTGATCAGGATCTTGTTGGTATATGTGGCTATCAGGACTCAGTAAATTAGCGGAGAACGAGATAGCGTTTGAAGCGAATGGTACTGGGTCCGAGTCTCAAAGTCAATATCAACTCTGGGATGAAGGTATGTCCATCTAACGAGTCCCCAATAGGATGAAACGTGCGTCATGTATTCCACTTCTAGTCACTATTATTTTTTTTATTTCTATACTTCAAATCTTACATAATTTATACTCAAGTTCAACAATGGATTTTGATGAAGGTTCTTTCGATTCTTTTAAAAAAAAAGAAAAAAGAATATTTGTTCACCAATGTTCTGTCATCAAACTATAAATGATGGTGAATATAAAAGAAGGATATTTGATTGGTTAACATAATATTAACCAGTCACAATTAAATTAATGAAATACATATCACACATTTTTGATCGACAAACACCGATATATTACATTTGTCAGTTAATGGGACAGTAGCTTGTTTATATATATGAAACAGAAATTATTAAAATTCAGTTAGCAACCACTTTTGCTTACACATTTCAAACTGTAGTTTGTTTGTACATATATATTAACAAACTGTTCTACACACAAACATTCATTTATATATATTCACATGTGATTTCATTCAGATGATAAATATGTATATATGACATAGTTACACAGTACCTATACTCTAACACACACACACACAATAACATAGAGACGTATATTTTTTTAGAAAAAAACCTCATGATGATCACTCAATCAGTGGTGCATATGAATAAATAAAGTATAATGCTCTATGAAATCACATTTCAGTATAGATATTGTATTACTTATATTAGAGATGTCCATGTATACATATATATATATAAAGTGAACAACCGATTTTAAGCAAAAAATCAATAATCTGAGAATACACACTATTCAAATTTGTTACTGATTCATTTGATACATGTGGTTAATAGTTAATACTATTGGTTCTATGTAGATATTTTTCTTGTATAAGTGATAAATAAACACTCCCCCCCCTTCAAAAAAAAGCAACAACAAACATGGAATTTAAACGGAATACTATTCGACAACCTGGTTACTTTACACCGACTTATTCAAATTCGCCTAATGTGAAACGGCATCAAGATTTATTGAATAATTATCAATCAGAATCGTATGGATTAAATTATTTAACACAATTACATATGGCTCATAATTTCCCTACATATCACCATAGAAATATTATCAATGCTATAGATATGGGACATAATAATTATGATAATAATGATAATAATCATAATAATTTAAATATAAATCCATCAAGTCATAATAATCGTGTACGAATTAATCATACACTTGATGGTAAAACACAAATTATCTATGAAACACCAAGTAGAACACGTCAATATTGGTTAGATCGATGTAAATTATCAAATACCAATTATATCGATAATAATAATAATAATATTGATAATACAATGAATTCTAACAAAATTATACCAATTAAACCAAATAATTCAATATATAATACTCATTTACAATTAGCTAGTAGTAAAACATCAACAATAATCAATAGAAATTATTCACCTATTCAAAATAAATACAAATTCAACACATTGAAATTTCATAATTCATCATTAGATAAAGAATCACAATTAAATACTACTAATATGTATTTATATGAATTAACTGATAATGAATTAATTTTATCTAAATTAGATCCACGTGTAAATATAAAAACGAATGAAAACAAATTAATTGATAATAATATAAATCAACAATTAAATTCTAATAGAAAAATGAAAGATAATGATATATTACCTATATATCAACCAATTGAACAAACAATATATCAGGTTAGTTTTGTGTTTCTAGATGAAATATTCATTTCTTTGTGGGTTTTTATAATTTAGTTGTCATGGCAACAATTATTTATCTAAGAAAATGAATATTTATTTAATATCAGAAGGGATTTTGTGAACATTATGGTAATTTCAATAGTTGAGATCATGAGTCAGTCGAAGTTAGACTACCATGGGAAACCTGGAAGAACTGTACAGTCATTTCGTCCTAGCATCTACGATCTCGCATTGTGAGATACCAACCCACAACCTATCGGTCTCGCGTGCCAACGCTTAACCTCAAGACCACTGAACCAGTTGGCATTCAATGGTGTTAATGTCTAACTTCAACCAATCTATGAAGTTGTACCACCGTCCATCACCATTTTCAGTGAGTTACTATCTGACTACAGACCCGGTTGAACTCCACTGGACATGACTTCTCACTAGAACTCTACGAAATACCTGTTGAATCTAGTATTTTGTGAGCATATGTTGATTAGTATCAGAAGGGGTTTTGTGGATATTATAGTTATTTCAGTAGTTGAGATCATGAGTCATTTGAAGCTAGACCACTCTCGGGATCCCAACCCAAGATCTATCGGTGTCGCGCGCGAACGCTTAACCTTTAGACCACTGAACTGGTCGGCATTCATCGGTGTTAATATCTAAATTCAGCTACTCCACGAAATTGAGCCATATGTCCACCATTATATCCAGTGAGCTACTATCTCACAAATTAATTTAATGTTGATATTCTTTATGGAAGCAGTTAAATCAAAATTAAATTATATAAAAGTTAACAATTTAAATTAGTTTCTATGATTTTATCATTGTTGATCGATAGATATGTTATGTTGAATATTGATGATACCCACCGCCCCAAAAAATGATAGTTTATCAAACAAATATTGCTTTAGAGTCATGGTTTGTTATGATGAGATCAGCTGAAGTATACACCTTTTCTAAAACCGTTAATATAAGCTTTAGAAATATAAAATAATGACAATGTATCATTTTGTAAATCAGTAATATTCATACTGATTTCCATGTGTGTGTGAACTCACATGTGTATGGAAGATTAATTATGACTTGGATATCAGTTAAATGACCCACTAAAAACAGGTGACAAGTACCTAACTTCTTTCACTGCTAAACATACCTTACGTTTGATCTTGATTTGGCTTTTTGGTTTGCATAAAAGTTATCCAGAATGAACATAATAAGGTAGTGGTCCGGGATAGTTGATATGAAACCCTGCTTGGCCAAGCTCTCGTGCTTGTTTGGTACTCATCAATGAAATCTACCTGTAATATTGAGCGGACTGATACTTCCTGGAGGACACCATCCTATGACGTCAAACTTCATTGTCAGATATATTATAACAGAGCTATTAAGACGCGAATAACTTCCTGTAGTAGTAGTAGTAGTAGTAGTAGTAGTAGTAGTAGTAGTAGTAGTAGTAGTAGTAGTAGTAGTAGTAGTAGTAGTAGTAGTAGTAGTAGTAGTAGTAGTAGTAGTAGTAGTAATAGTAGTAGTAGTAGTAGTAGTAGTAGTAGTAGTAGTAGTAGTAGTAGTAGTAGTAGTAGTAGTAGTAGTAGTAGTAGTATGTAGTATGTATCTACGACTAATTGAGCATTGAATGGTGACCAATGTCATGTATGTTAAATCCTTCATAGTGCCAATCAGACTCTATGAATCAACACTGAGCCTTGGTTCAAGGTTTCCTTTCGACTTCCTATAACCACTACCTATTATGCCAACATCGTGGATACAATATCAAGTCACTTAGACTAAAAGCCACATTGTAACGTGATAAATAGAATTTTAACAACACTAAGGACGACTTGACATATATATGACAATAGGGACTTTTTGGTAGTCATTTAATTGTAAAAGAGCAAATACTTAGATTTATTGAAGGCGTAATTATACAAAAATTCATACTCCCATTTGTATATTTAAAAACAATTTATACTTACATTAAACTTACCCTAGTTTGATTTATTATCCAAAGTGATATTATTCTTACCACTGTTCCTCATTATCTTTATTTTCTTCATCTCATTTATAAAATTTGGCATTCATCTATAGAATTTTTTGAGCTAGTTAATTTGTAGCCACTATCCATCTTTGCTTATAATGATTGCGACTTAAGGCAATATCAAGTCAATACGCACAATATGCATATATGCCAATAAGAGACTGATCAATTACAGTCCTAAACAAGCCAAACAATACCAAGTGAATTGAAATTCACCCCATTGCACAAGCAAGTGGCTATCAGGACTCAGTAGCTGAGTGGATCACGCGATAGCGTTTGAAGCGAATGGTACTGGGTTCGAGCCACACAGTGAACATCAACTCAGATGTAGGTACATCCAGCTGACGAGTCCTAAATAGGACGAAACGCGCGTCAAACTGGATTTCACTGTTAGCCACTATTCATCATTGCTTACAAATAGCTTGTGAATTAAGGTAATATCGAGGCATACGCACAATATGCACATATGCCAATCACAGACTGATCAATTACAGTCCAAAATATTAATTGGAAGATTTAAGTAAACAATATCAAATGAATTTAATGTTAATAATGTTTATTACTTCATCTATAAACTGATAGATCTGAAGAAAAAAACAGAATGATGGATACATGTTGATTACTTTAATATGACAAAATATTTTCATAGTTATATTATAATATTGACTTGGTTTATATTGATTATTATTTGTAATAATGAATTAATTATAATCACCTAGGTGAACTCACGACAGGTTAATTAATAATAATAATTTATCTTATATATCTGATTTAATGAATATCACACTTATCAACAAACAGTAACTAACTAATTAACTAACTAATTAACTGACTTATCCTTGATCTCTTTCATTAACATTCTTTAAAGAGTTTACTAAAATTGAGTTATTTACATAACTGGATAATTTAAATATGGATTATGATTTATGTGAGCTCAATTAAAAAAAAAACGTGAAATCTTTTGAAAGAATTTTATAACACTTTTATCGATGTATATCTTTATTTATTTATTTGGAAACATAAATATTGGTGAAAAGGGACAACGAATACATATGCGCCAAACAAGTCACTTGATTTGTGTGTGGGCTATGATACTGCCCGATTACCTAAGCCAAAGCAGGTGGTTTTCTTAGGGGGCTACATTCGAAGACTTCGACCTAAAGGTTTAATCCACATGGCAGTGGAGCAACGTAAAGAGATGTAGTCTCATGGTAACCGGTCACCAACAATTAGTTCATACGCCATTTGTTCCCTCAGGTTCCTGGAGCCCATGTATACCGTTGGTTTGGAATTAGGGTTTTCCAACTCCCGGTTAAAGTGCCGGACATTTGTTTTTCGTCCTCTCAATTTTGTAAACAACACCCGTGGTGTGACAAGGCATTGGATAGGACTTCCCTGGTGGTGGCTGTACACGCGTTTTAAACCAAAATAATTGCAAATGATAGATTTTTACTTAGTGTAGAATGAAAACACTGATACGTACAATTTTCTGCAGTGGATTCTAAAAATACCAATGTTAAAGATCTAATAAATCTATTGCACTTTAATATTTATAGAATATCTACTTCATCATGATCAGAAAGAAAAACTACCCCATTGGGTTAGAACAAGTAGGATTAGAATGTTGTACGACGGTGAGCTAGATGATGACAGCAGCGCAACATGTATTTGTAGGATTCCAAAAACATGACATTGTTTAGTATTAGCTAATTTAAACTAGTTGGTCACTTTTTTAAAAATAGAATTGATCAGAGTGGAGTAATGAGAATCCAAATGGAAAAAAGTGCTTTCATTAACTGTCCTAGAGGAAGTTATTTGCGACCTGTTCTGTTTAATGGCAATATTTGTGGATGTAAACTAAATGATGTGGATATCTATCTCAGTTAAACAGAAACTGAAAACTGTGGAGCACTGAACAATCGCTCTTCAATAGGGCTCATCTACAACTTCATCATAAGGAATCTGATTCACAACCCTCAGTTTCATGCATAGGCGCTTAATCTCTAGACCACTAGTTTGCAGTTCATTAGTTTACATGTCTAAACTCAAAAAATTATTTGTAATATTGCACAACCATATTCCAATATATTTGGTGAATATATGTTTCACGATTTACGTGTTTGAACTTGACCGGCTATGGCTTTTCACTAGAACTCCGGAACTACCTCTCAAAGTCAGTTACTAGCGAGTTCATTATTAATTATTTTAGGTGTTTATAATGAGTGATATTATGAACTGACCAAAGTTAAACATGTAAACTAATGGATAGCGGTCCAGTGGTCTACAGGTTCGATATGATGTGGATGAGTACTAATGGAGAGTTCCATGCTAGAAAAATAAGCTCTTCTGTGCTTTCTACTTCTCACTGGTTGTTTAACTAAGATCACTCTATGGTGATGATAATGAAATTAAAACATCATAAATCCCCATTTTAATATTACCATAATTCGTTGTTTGAATTATTATAATTATGAATAAGATGACCCAAAGTGATAAGATATTCGATTTTTTGGAAGTTGAAATATTGTAATTAATATTACTACTGTAGATTTATTCTAACTCATTAATTACGTATGTATGTATTATATATAGAGCTTAGATTCGTAACCTACTGCGTACAACTTGAGCACTCGAATTCTAGAACGCTCGAAGTCGCAAATAAGAAGACAGAAGAAGACTGGATAAAGTACTTGTTGGGCAAGAATCAAAATGTACAGAAAATCATGAGTATTTATAGATATTAGTGTTTGTTAAATAAATAGTATAATTCGACCAATCCGCAAAGAGGCATGTTATGCTACTGACGAATAGTAGCATACCACGTTGATATTCCAGAAAGCTCCATTGCGTTCTGATTAGGCGGAACTCTTCGGCTCCCTTATGGCCTCTGGAGCTCCGTCGTAGTTCTCGGAAACCATCCAGACAGTATCTTAATCATGTAATATAGTCATAGTATTTCGTGAAATGAAAG